AACACCATGGATGATACAGCATACACACCATATTTTCTCATTGGTCGTACTTCAACATGCATAGGTATATCTCCTGTTTTAAGTAAAAGAAGGAAACATTGAACATTCTAGCGAATATTGAACTAGTGAGGATCACTAATTATTTCGATCTGATCCATTAGTTTAATACATTTTGTACTTTTCTTGTACTTCAACATGCATAGATATCACATAATTATATTGAACTAGTGAGGATCACTAATTATTTCGATCTGATCCATTAGTTTAATACATTTTGTACTTTTCTTGTACACCAAGTTTATATCACCTTAAGGAGACAATAATATCTTGCTGTGGTGTCTATCATTCGGGAAATCATCCAAGAAGCCACTTAAATGAAGTACAAAGTATTTTGGTAACAAACCCCTCGATTCTGAACTATGATACGAGATTTACACCAGTCTTCCCAGGTCACATGCACACATCCACACGTAAAATCATCTTTAACGCATAATGAGGTATTCAATAACTATCGCTGTTGGTACAACAATACAAAAATAAAACAAATGAAACCTCTCGACTTATGTGAATTGAGTGTGTGTACTTTCGGGAGATTGCAATATGTTTGTGTTAGCCTCTTTGTGATTGTGTGGAACTGATGACAACACTTTTTATAGCTACCACACTAATTTAATTCGTTGCGATACTTTTTTTTTTTTTTTTTTTTCTAAAAAGACATTTCTGATGATTTTTTATGTCATTAATCCCTTTAAAAATATATTGAAAGTAATGCGTTTTACCTGCATCAGTGTTATCCATTGTGGCCACTTCCGGCACAACCCCCGTGTCGAATTCATCGAACTTCACACATCTGTGGCTACCGGCAGACTCGTCCCTGTGTTGGAAGTCTTTGCAAGTGTTACAAAGGAAAAACTTGCATTTTGGGCAGTACATATCTGACTTTTCTAAACACACATGACAGGCGTCTAATGGTATGTTCTGTTTCTTGATCCCAGTTTTTATGTTGTGGTTTGACTTAACGCCAGTGTGGATAGTTTTGCTGCATATCATACACAAACTCAAGTTGCAATTTGTACAGAAAGCATCCGACATGTTATCTATACATCTGTCACAAAACTCCACTCTATTTTTCGTTGAAATAAACGTTTTCAATTTCCTTAAAATATCAACTCTCTCAAAAGTGGAAGCATCTTGTGTGGAGGCTATGTATTCTCGCACACACAATGGACAACGAATTATAAATTTTCTAGGCGATATCGAAACCAGCTGCTTAGACATGCAATCCTGGCATGTCCAATGTGAACATGGATAGTACCTTGGGACGTGCGTATCCTCATCAAACGGATTCAAGCAAACGAAACATTCGAGAAACTCGCCACTTAAATCTGACAGTAGTTTCGTCATGACTGGAGTCCTGACTGTCCCTTGAAACAAGAAAGGAACACGTGTCAGTCAAATTAAGATACTATATGTACATTGAAACAATAGAAATACAAGTACGGTGTGGAGCATGATCTCTGAACTATTCAAAGTTAATCAAATGATTCCAAATTGTGACATATGTCTGTTTAGTTGTTGACATCTATTGACAAATTATGTATTGACCACTGGCCAGATGTGTATTGTTGTTACTTAATCTATACAAGTTTGCATGAAGGTCAATATATACTTGTGGAAACCCTGGTTTATCTATTGGGTAAAATTACTTAAGCAATCGTTTCAAAACATTTTGGTATAAATACAATTGGTCTGCCAAATGAGAAGAGAAGAGCGGAGGCCAGACAAGAGAGTGGCTAGTCTTCACTGCCGGGACGTCCGCTCTCTCAGGCTTTTGCCTGAACCATTTGAATGTACTTCGGGTGTAATTTTTAAACATCGAAAACCCACAAAATAGAATACATTTATTCATTATATTTAGTGCTGCGACAAGTTTTTTATCGTACTTCTTGTCATTCAAACGCGTACTTCATAAGGGCCATATGATACGGTATGTAACTTACTTACAATTACAGCGGTTTTGTTGTCAGTTTTGCTAACATGAAACATCTAGCCTACAAACATAATTACGCCAAATAAGTTTGCATTTGGAATGACGCATATTTACCTGTGGTATTTTCCGTTGCCGCCGGTGCCGTTTCTAATATCGATGTGTCGTCATCATTGACCTTGTAAACTTCATGGGTACCAACAGATTTGTCATTGTGGTGGACATCTCCACACGGGTAACAGAAGAAAAGCTTACATTTGGAGCAGTAGATATCTGACCCTTTTCACACATATGACAGATGCCTATTGAAATGCCCTGATCATTGATTCCAAACTTGATATTGTGGTTTGAATTATCACCAACATGAATAGCCTCACTACAAGATATACACTGACTCGAGTTGCAGTCTGAACAGAAAGTATCCGACAAATTATCAGAACACGTGTCACACAAATCCTTCTCCTTTGTAGAAATGAAGTTTTCCAGTTGTCTCAAGATATTAACTTTATCATAATTGCATGAGTCTGCGGAAGAGGCATCTGAGAATCGATTACACAATGGACATATAAGTATATTTTTGTCTGCCGACACTCGCCTGAATTGTCGAGCCATACATTCATGACAGGTCAAGTGTAGGCATGGATAGTACCGTGGCACATGCATACCCTCATCAAACATATTACTGCAATTGGAACACTTGAGGAACTCGTCGCTTAAATCCCTTAACAGTCTTTTGATGGCTGCCATTCCGACTGTCCTTTCAATTAAAAATGAGAACGTGACAGGCAAATACACATTTTTTATTTTGTTTTATTTTTTCTTTTCGTTAAAAGTTCTAATTGGTGATCCCGAATTTCTTTTTTTACTCCCCAAATAAAGTCCTAAACGTAAGTCTTATGTCAGTTTACCATTTTAGTTTATGTTTACTTGAACAACCTTCCAATATATTTGCGATGGTCTTCGCCACTTGTTGTTTCCGTTACATAAAACTTAGTAATGTAATCTAAATTTTGAACATTTGTTACCATTTTAAAACGCACGCTTAGATAAGGTCTTTTTTATAAATAAACCGGATCATTATCATTATAATGTGAACTTGTGATTGAAGACCATAAAACACTCGAGGCATTCCATGATAATGAACATCATCATCATCTGACCATAATTATTCTGAAATAATAACTTTATCCTCACACACACCCTACTCGCATTCCCGTAACAACTTCCCCACTCCTTACCCACAAATAAAGAAATGCATTCGTTGCATCATGTTGTATATTTTTTATGACATTTTCTTTTCTTCGAGCATTCTTGAGTAATTATATTCTTTTTTTCCGGAAAAGAATTTCTTTCATGTCTTTAGGCCGATCCGAAGATCGTCTATATGACGTAAGTTTGACACCCTCTGTTTCCCAATCAAATCTTCATAACGTAATAAAACATTCAATTTCATGAAATAGTGCGAACCTATGTAGACTGTTTATAGTTATGACACTTTAAATTGACCCCATGATATTGGTGCAGTGTAAACACAATGTGGTGTCGGCAATAGAGACGGAGTAACGACGAAAATGAAAGTAGGATTTGAAGATAATGTTGGTACATTAATTGCACTATGACAGTAGGTTCGAGATATCGACAAAACATTATCATATACAGTATTATATGATGACTGGTCTAATTCGGAAAGAGAGGTCAAGAGTTCATCTTGAATAAAGTAAGTCCCTACCAGAGATCGAACGATCCATCCAAAACGTTTTTACCATGACTTAACCGACTTTAATCTAGATATTATAGTAAAGTTGTCACTAGCTTAAATACCAATGAACTATACATGTTACAGCTGACTGAACAGGGACAGTTGTTTTGCATAATGTGTATGCAATACATAAGGCATATCAATATGAGATATTTATCAAAAGACTCGCCAGTAAATTGGCTCTTAAAATCTAGATGTTTTCATGCTGTTTTTACCATGAAACTTACCTTGAGTACAGGCAGTTACAATGCTGGTCAGGCGACAGAAAATAAAGACAGCCAATCCTCCCTACAGTAACTTGTAAACTGAACAAAGTATGACGTGTTTTCAAAAACATCCTGATAATAATAATATATTTATATACCTTACGTGTGTTCATTACAAGGGCGTTATAAATAGTCATAGGCTATGGCGTTTTTTTGGTTGTGTTCATGAAGTAATAAAACAGGCCTGTGTGTCGAAGGCACACCTGATAAACGTACTTTATGAAGGTGTGTCTGAGTCTAAATTTGTCCATTTGGCATTTGTTCAAACACTCGAATTAGTCATTTTTAAGGTCACTATATATATCAACCATGGGTCTGTTTGGTTGGGGCATATTGATATGACCTTAATTCCTCTAAATATCCACATACATCCACAAAACAACATACAATATAAGACATTAATGTTGACTAATACAATCTTGTATGAAATATTTATTAAACTTTTAGCAACACATCCAGAATCGAAGAGATTTAACTGCCCAATGTTTTCATAATGTCAGTATTGTTCAGAGATCATCTTTCAACCGATCGCTTTCGAATTGTTTAGGCTTAATAGCCATGGCACCAATGTTTTGCTCCACTGAATGACAATTTCATTAAGGTGTATTTGTTAGAGTCACTCATTATTTAATGTCACAGGCCAGAGATTCAGGATTCAACTGATTTCTATAACCTTTTTGGGCGTCATAGGTATGGCATGAAATTGTGTTTATCTTAGGCGACTGTTTCTTCCTTTATTTCAGCCCGCAAGGATATCATCTCTCTCAGTGGTGAGCGTATTTCTCCTGTTTTGTTTTTGTTGAGTTTATGACAATATGACCATCTTTTTCTCTGCTTCCATAAAAAAATTCACAAGCCATTCCAAAAACGAAACGTCGACCCACTTAACATGAATCTTCACTTAAATCTAATGATCTACCAACTGGACTTCTAGAGGATTAAGTAAACCGAAATCAGATGATGTCATAAGTGGAGCACTCGATTTTCATTATGGATACATTTTCTCCTTTCCTTGAATTTCTTCGTCAGTGAGACTAAGTCTCGGTGTTGCCCAAAGATAATCAAAAAGGCTGCGGAATGGATATGTCATCACACCTTTGATAATCTCGTAGTTTGAAACGATCGCTGGGTTTGGTAGATCGCCTATTTTAACACTGGTTCCACTTCTTATTTTGGCTGATACGTATTTATCATTATTTGAATCGGCAAGTGAAATCCAGACACTTAGAGAGCGTTGCTCGTAGTAATGTTCGAGAAAAACAATATCCTTCCACAGAACTATTGGTGAAAAGATATCCATAATTTTTCGAATGTTATCAACTAGAAAAAGAAACGAAACGCGTTTCTTCTCTCCCATGCTTACAGTGCTGATGAGCTTTTGTGACACTGTTGTCTCGGTCTTGTAGTTGATGTCATTCAGACATAAGGCAAGTTCTTTTCTATAGAGTTCATAGCACCAAGAAACAGACCAGTATATGTTACGTTGCTTATGATGTGTGTCACGTTGTTTGTTTAAGTGAAATAGTTTGATCGTAAATAACTTTCCAACTTTGCCGACACCATATGCATTTCCTATATCAATGTCTACGTCAAGTGCAAAATATGTCTTGTTTCTATTTCTTAAGTCGTAATGGAATATATTGAAGGTGCAAAGAGTTCTATGCACATTGATTTTCGAAATTGTTCTGTTTTGGTACACTTCCTCTCTTGACCTGGGTCGGCATATCATACTCACCTGTTCAACTTTAAAGAGATAAAAATTATTAAACTTTGTTCGACCATCTATTAGTTCTATATATATATATATATGATATGTCATTCTTTGACACTTAAACATTTCATTGGTTTGAGAGTCTTAGCAGTTCATTAAATTTGTCTCAAGAGCAACTCGATTCATCACCCCATGAAATCGACAAAAAGATTCGATGTTCAAGTGCAATTTCAATATTTTCACATTAGAAAAATAGAAAAAGAAGTTAAATGTTGCATGAAAATGACTTCTGACCTTCTTACATCTTCAAAACAGGTTTTTCGTTCTTTATATTTTTTAATTACTTCACATAAATGAATATGTTGACAAACATACCTTCCTCAAATGGTAGGATGACATTGGCGGGAAAACTGTGGATGTACACCCCAACTGTGATCACTGCCATCAATAGGAAAGCAAACCCCACACCAAGTATCCCATCCTTCAGTGATATGCCTTTCGTGAAGAGTGAAAGAAAGTAAATGCATCACAAAGGGGTGAAAACGTTCATTGAAGTAATGCGTATCATAATTTCAATATTTTGCTCGTTTGCTGTGTATGTTGCCTTGTGAACAGTCAGTCACTTTAAAGCATTATGTCACCTTAAGCAAGTAGAAATGGAAACGTTTTGCCATTAAATGTCTGGGCGTCTTCTGCATAATATCGTCAAGTAAAGTTTGGTCAATCCGAGGATATAAGTCACGTTATCAAACGCGAACATAGTTTACAACAATGAAACAAATGGGTATACAAACGAACCAACGTACAATCACAAATATATAGAATCCAGTGCAGACCACGGTGTCGACCATGAAACGTTCTCCTATTTTCTTTAATTTGTCGGGTATACACAATTGTGCACACCACAACTACATCAATGAAATGCGTATGATCGAGATAACATTCCCGTTTTGTATGTTCCGTGAACACCCACAAGGAAGGCCCCGGGTTGAAAAGAAATGTTTACATCAACGATTTGTCATTGTTGCTGTACTCATGTTATTTGAACTCATTATTGGTGCTAAGGACCAAGAGTTTTAAAACGAAGATGGGAATTAGGAAGTTCAAATGGGCTCAAAGAAATGTTTAAAACATACTCTAGAAAAACTCGAAAATAAGACGCGGCTTATGACCTTTAATTGTAAGCAAAGGCCGATTTATTTATGTAAGAAACAACGAACTTATTTTAAAGGTTGGTTTATTTCTGAGGTAGAGTACATGTATATGGGGCTGATCTGATTATAAATTAAAGTTGTTTCTTCTCACAAGTTTTTCTTCTTGTGCGATATGAAGTCGATGCTCATTAGTTTGCCTGGTGGTTCTGTTGTTGTTTTCCATACGGGAACGTGACATTTTCTCTCTTCTGGAACACTTGGTCTTAGTTTCTTTATACTTTTTCATGAAACAGCTGGTACATTCTTCTTTTGTTCATATTTTCCCTGATGTCATTGGATTTTATTTTGAATTATGATTCCGTTGAATGTCGGTATTTCTCCTGTACTGCTTTTAAATTAATTTAATGTTCTTAAAAATAACCAAAGGTAACACGTGATTGTTTCCTTGTTTCCGAACTAATTACACGTGTTTTGTTGTTTTTGTCACTGTCATGATAAACCATAAAAGTCATATTATGCAATATTCACTGTATAAAAATAAAGATATTCTAGAAAAGAAGCAGTTTTACCAGTATTATCTACATCCTCTGTGTCATTTGGCGCCATTTCCGGACCGTTGTCTTCGTTGGTTCCGAAATCTTCCTGGATGTCATCAAATTCACCATGGCGCTGGATATCTTAGAGCGTGTAAGAAAAGGAAAAACTTAAAACGTATGTCTTACTGTACCCAATAGTATGTTATGTTTTTATTTCGAATTTTATTATAGAGGAAGTATCTGACAGCTTATCTGATGAACTAAATCCCTGTTACATAACTTCTTATTAACATCATATGGTCGAAATTAATATTTCCTAATTTTTAAAAATATTCGCTTTCTCATACTTGTAATCGGTAAGAGAATGGATAGTAGGCCGATGTCAATACTTGCCAAATTTGTCAGTAGGAAGGACCGTGAACGAGTCCTTACGGCTGCCCCCGTTAAGCTTTCATCAAAACGTCAGTTCAGTGTTAACGAACAGTTACCCCCGGAAATAAATGAACGATGTCGTGTGCTATATCCAGTATTTAAGTAGGCTAAGAGAAATAATCGCCAGGCCAGACTTAAAGCTGACAAGCTTATTCAGTCATGTGACATTATTGTTTGTGTTGAAAGCAAAACCGATGATTTAGATGTTCTTAATATGCCAGATAACTATTCTTATTATGTCAAAAATAGACAGAAATGTGTCAGAAAATCTGGAGGAATTGTCATAATATACAAAACAGCATTAAAGTCACAATTAACTTTTCATAAAACTGAATCAGAATATGTCCAGTGGTTAACTCTTTCAAAAATTGATTGTCATCTATTAATTGGGTGTACTTATATACCCCCTGAAAACTCCAAATTTTCTTCGCCTGATGCGTTTTCAGAAATTGAAAATGAGATGTCATTATTTTCTAAAAATAACTGTCATGTTGCCCTTATGGGAGATTTTAATGCTAAAACACAAAAACGTGTTGATTACATTGAGCCTGATAATACTCTATCTGATGTGCTCGACATAGACACAAACAATGAGTTATACTATCAATTCATGTATGACTATGAAAACTTGAGATTGTATGATATACCATTGACAAGATATAGTGAGTGTAATGCTAGAATTAATACATATGGTATTAAGTTACTTGATCTCTGTAAACAAAACAATTTATATATAGCAAATGGACGAATTGGAAAAGATAAGTTCATTGGGAAAAAACCTGTAATGATGCAACTGTGATTGATTATCTCGTCGTATCTTTTTAATCCACTATTCTCTGATACTCATTGTAGAGTAAAATTTTCCATTTGTTGTACAAATCAAAATAGATTTAAAGAAAATACAGATTATGTTGCTACACAGATACCTGTAAAATGGAAAAATGATAAAAAACAACTTTATATAACTACTATTGAAAATGACAATGAAGGAAAATTGTCTGATATAGATAGACGTTTAAATGATTTGATGAACAAACCAAATGATGACGTAACCAGTACTGAGGTAAATAGTATTACTTCTTGTATAAGTGATTTATTCACGTCGTCAGCGAATTTAGCGTTTGGTGTTAAACATGTCCATACGAGTACCTATAAGCAAAATAGAAGAAATAATAACAAACCCTGGTTTACTAATGACTGTGCCAAGCGAAGAAAAGAATTTCACGAAGCAAAAAAGAAATATCACATTGTCAAAAGTTCATTTAATAGGAATGCACTAAAACGATGTAGTAAAAGGTATAAACAAGAATTGAATAAATGCTATAAAGCTTATCAATTTCGTGGTGAAAATAAATTAAGAGAAGCTTTTAGAGACACTCCTAAAAATTATGGGATGCCTTTAGTAAACTCAATGGGTCCAAACATTCGCAAAAGGCAAATATTTCAATTAATGAGCTATATGAATATTTCAAAAATCTTAGCACAACTCCAAATCAAGATGACGATTTTGATTTTAGTATTAAACAAGACGATCAATCTTTATTAAGTTTTAATGAGCCTATCTCAAGGGAAGAAGTTCAGAAATCTATTCAAAATTTAAAAAATAATACATCGAGTGGTATTGACGGTATTTTGAATGAGTATATTAAAAATACTAGCCATATTCTTTTACCTGTGTATGTGAAATTGTTTAATGTAATACTAAATACCGGAATAGTCCCGGAATCCTGGACAGCTGGTGTAATTAAACCAATTGATAAAAACAAAGGTGATGACATCAATCCAAATAATTACCGAGCTATTACGCTTGTTTCCTGTCTTGGAAAATTATTTACTGCAATAATCAATGAAAGATTAAATAAATATGCTGATAAAACTAACCTTATATCGAATACACAGGCAGGATTTAGAAAAGGTTACTCAACGACAGAGAATATATTTGTTCTATATGCATTAATTTCCCTATACTTCTCACAAAGAAAAAAAACTTCATTAATTTTAAAAAAGCATTTGATACCATTTGGCGAGTAGGATTATGGAAGAAATTAATTGCGTCTAATGTATGTGGGAAAGTTTTAAAAGTCACTAACAATCTATACTTAAATACTAAATCCTGTGTCAAAAACAGAAGTGAGTCATCTGATTTTTTTATTTGCAATGTCGGATTTAAACAAGGTGAGAATGTATCGCCATTTTTGTTTTCATTATACTTATATGATCTAGAACGATTTTTATCGAAAATAATGTTAATCCTCTACAAGAAATAGAAACAACATGCCTGAGACATATTGGTTTGTATCTGGAATTGTTCATTATATTGTATGCTGATGACACTGTGATGATGGCTGAGACAAAAAATAGTCTTCAAAATGCTTTAAATTGCTTTCAAAAATACTGTGAAACATGGAAACTGACTGTCAATACTCAAAAGACTAAAGTCGTCATATTTGAGAAAAGAAAAAGCAGTTGGAACTTATTCATTTACTTATAATAATGAGCCCCTAATGGTTGTAAACTCTTATTCATATCTTGCTGTACTGTTTAACTATAATGGTACGTTTGTAAAGGCTAGGACCCAATTGATAGAACAGGCTAGAAAGGTATTATATGGTCTATATAAGAAAATAAGAAATATTCCACTACCTGTTGATATCCAACTTAAACTATTTGATTCACTTGCGTCACCTATTCTATCATATGCATGTAAAATATGGGGATTCAAGAATGTAACTAGCGTTGAAAAAATACATCTACAATTTTGTAAAAGAATTCTTAAATTGAGAAGTAATACCCCAAATTATATGATATATGGGGAACTTGGTCGTTATCCACTAGAAATTAATATTAAGACCCGAATGGTGACTTTTTGGCATAGAATTATTACAGATGAGAACAAATTATCATGTATACTCTATAATTTAATGAACAAACCTCAGTCACAAGATCAAATCGATTTCAAATGGTTGAAGTTCATAAAGTCAATACTAGATAACACTGATATAGCAGTGTATGGAATAACCAACATATATGTAATGTGGATAGAATCTTTTTGAAGTCTAAAGTTAAACAAAGATTAATTGATCAGTTTATTCAGAAGTGGTACCATGACACTGATATTTCTTCACGTGGAGAAACTTACTCAATCTTTAAAAGCAAATGGGAATTAGAGACTTATTTAATTAAGCTAAACCCAGAAGACAGAAAAACATTGTGAAGATTTAGAACATCTAATTGTAAGTTACCAATCGAAACTGGTAGATGGACAGGTGTACCTCGCCAGGAAAGAATTTGTTTATTATGTAATTTAAATATTGGCGATGGGTATCATTACCTTTATCAATGTGAAAACGACTATATTAAAGAAATACATCAAAAATACTTACCTAAATACTTATACCAAAAACCAAGGAAAAGTTTGATTAATATTGGAAAAAATGGGGAAAACTTATTGCATTATAAATTATTCTTTACTTGTTTCCCCTGCTATGATAAATTAGTCAAATCCAGTTAATCCTATGTTTATCTTCATATAATATTAACAGTTATCCCTCCTATCTTTATCCTTCACCCGTCCCTCTCTGATCTTTCCCGTCCCTCTCTGATCTTTCCTTCCCCCCTTTCTGTCTCTCTCCCTCTCCCTATCTCTCTCATAAGTCACAACACAATTGCATGAAAATGTTTGAAAACTATTTCTGTAAGTAAGTATACATGTAACAGGTATGTATGTCTTCTGATTAAGGCTGAAGTATGAATGCAAGGTGATACATTTTTGACACAATGGGTATGTAAGATGTACATTATACATGTACATTCACTATTCTCCTATAGATCTATATATATGTTTTATTAATAACCCAATACTGTTCAGAGGATGCATGGTCTCATACCAAGTACATATATTATTTTTTTAATCAGTACTAGTGGTGGTTTGTGTTGTATGTGTGACATTTGGCTACTACAAGTGTGTATGTACATGTAAGCTGTATGTGTGGTTAATATCATATGTGTGGTATATTCAATACCAGTGTGCACTTGGGTTGTCTGTTGGTATGTGTGTGGTGAAAAATGAATTATCTGCTTTGTGTGTGAAGAACATAAAGTCAACAAATTTGCTGTAGTTTGAAGATTTATGATGTACAATGTATTGTTATGTGTTTGTGATAATAAAACTGATTAAAAAATAAAATATAAATAAAAATGTATGTATGTATGTATGTATGTATGTATGTATGTATGTACTTATGGTGTGTCTGGAGTGATTAATAAAACTTGTAAATAAAACTTGGTAACGTCTCGTGAGAGTGAATCAATAAACAAGAACAATGCGCCGTTTGTAAACCAGTATAAAAAAAATTTAATAGATCAATTTATACAGAAATGGAGAAACGAAACGGAAAATTCATTTAGAGGCTTATTCTATAGTAGTTTTAAAAAGTCTTTACTGCTTGAACCATACCTGACTCAACTCTCTGTTAACAACAGACGGATTTTATGCAAAATTAGATGTTAGAATTTCCCATTGAAACTGGAAGATGGCGCAATGTTCAGAGACAGGATAGGAAATGTTCTCTATGTAATACCTCAGTAGGTGACGAATTCCATTACTTATTTCAGTGAACTGATATAAGATTGATTGAACTGAGACAGAAATTCTTACCTTCATATTACTGGAGAAATCCAAACGTGTTCAAAATGTACGGATTGCTCTCAGTTTGTTATAAAAAAGTTCTAAATGCCTTTTGTTTATTTTTAAACAGTCTTGACAAAATCTTGTAAGAAAGATAATGTTTTCATTATATAAGTGATTTTATGAAACCCAAGTATATCAGCATTATAAAAAAAACCTACCAGAAGCCATGCATTTACTTTAAAACAATCTTAATCAAATATTGTGAAGAAACACCACGTTATCATTATGTAATATCAAAGGGTATTTAGATGAACTAATTGATATCAGTCTTTTAAATACACACCTGATGCTCTCTGTTTATTTTAAACAGCGTGGTGTTATAATAGCAAAGTGTATATAATGTGTAAATTGCTATCAATTTGATATCAATACTTAATACCCCATTTTATTCCAAAGTCTTAACAAAATACTATGTTATCCTTAAATAATGTGGTTTAATGAAACCAATTTGATATACAAAAGTACATAATGCCCTTTGGTTATCTTGAACAGCCGTAACAAAATATTGTGAAGCAATACTGTGTTATCATTATATAATGTGGTGTTATATTGAAGTGTATTTGAATGTACTAATTGCGATCAATATGAAAATTGAAAGTACTAAATGCATCCTGTTTATTTTAAAGTCTTAAAAATATATTTTGAAGTAACACTATGGTATCCTTATATAGCGTGATGTTATGCTACCATTTTGATTTATATAAGTAAATCGTATTGTTCTAGTTGTTATCAGTCTGATCTATGGAAGTACTGTGTACTTTGAATAGTCCTAACAAAATACAGTGAAGCGTCACGACTTTCAGTTACCATCCATTTTGTCACGTATCTATTGATATAGTATTGTTTTACCTCATGTTATACATTTTCATGTATCTGAGGATCCAATAAACTTGAAACTTGAAACTTAGTCGAACTTTCTAACAGGTCAGAGTGTGCACGGATAATACACTGGCGTGTGTGTATCCAACGAATTAATGAAAAGGGAACATTCAAGTAACTTACCGTTTAAAAGTTCTAATAACCTGTCCCTGGCTGCCATTCTCAATGTCCCTTAAAGAAAAAGAAAAACACGTGGCTGTCAAATTTTACATTTAAAGTTTTAGCATGTTTGAGTTAGCTTTCCTAAACGCTGATTCAGAATGAGAAAACAAATAATGAAACCATTCGGTTAGTAAAACTTGAAAAAAAAATAATAAAAACACGCCGAACGTAATGCTATACTCTGGGCTGTTTTCTATGCTTTCAAATCAGTGCCAGAGTTGAGGCCTACATGTTAATCTACTACAGTATATTACCTTGTTCGATCAAACCACTGTTCTATTCATATTGTCCCATATGGCTAAGCATTCAATTTTGCATTCAGTGATCGTCCAAGCGAGAACAATCATTGTCATTTCCGTTAAGAAAGATATCATTATGTCATTTAAATTTCAAACGGCTGTTAATTGCTTAAAATGCATGACATTTTTTTTAAAATAAGTAATTAGTTGTGATATGACTAACCGACCCAGGCCTTTGTCAATAGAATGTGAGTTGGATGTTAAAGACTTTATCAAATATCTATCAAGTGATTTGTGCGAAACACCTCAATCTCCCGCATTCCCATCAACACCCCTTACATGTTAAATAAGTTCGTATCTGTATTTTTCTTTCTTCATAGCATCTAAGTTAATCCCTTATTTTTCACGACGACAAAGGATGATTTGTTTGATTTCCGTAGTCCAATCGAAAACGTCATAATCAAAATATAAAGGTCAAGGTCAACGTAATATTTTAGAAAATCGTTATCAACGCTCTCATAGCTTCATTCCTTACATAGCTTTTGCCAAACCTCGTTCACTTTTAGATGGTCACATATTGGTGATGAGACTGTGTTGTCAGATTCTCAAACTTATTTATTGCATTGTCCCTTTAAAATAATTGTATAATTGTCTTTTTGTTTAAATGAATAGCAAACAATCTCATCTTTATAGATAACTTAAATGTAATAGTTCGCGGGGTCCTGTTTTGTTTCGTTAGCAGCACTCAGTATTGCAGGGTAGCCGTTGAAACAAGATACTAGAAGAATATCGTTACATCAACTACATTGAAGGCTTTTGTTATCCGCGTTCAATCTATCAATGCTATCAGATAACAAACGGATTATCTGTCATGAAGATTTCCTGAATGTCTGAACCGAATAGCTCTAATACCTTTATAATATACGCTACCAAAGGCTGAACACGTACATATTTCCGTAACGTCTGTGCAATCATACACCATGCATTTAAGGTAATATTTTTCAAAGATTGATCGTTAAATCTGGTTTCAAAATCTATATGTTCTAAGCATGTCGTTGTGTTAACAAAAAGACTTACCTTGGCTACTAAAATGTACAAGCAGAGACACAATTTTGAAACAGAACGCGAAGACTGACAACACGTCCGACAGTGACTAATTCAATATTTGGTATTTTCCAGAATGTTCATATTTTAATAACCGTGGGTGTATTCATTGCACAGGTGTTATAAATAGCCATCGGTCTGGCGTCTTTTTTGGCTCTAGTGCCAAAATCACGACATTCGATACTTAATAGATCCGATAGGAGTGTTATATACTGATGTTTAACATAGAGCAAAATCGGATGTGTATGCAATATCTGTTTTCCAGTCACAAAAAAACACGTGCTTTTTTTAAAACATATTTTAACACACTCAAAGAAAGTTCCTACAAGAGATAGGTCGTCTAGATTGACTCCTGTGAATTCAAGGACTCCTTTTTGTGACATATTTAAAAAAATAGATATTGAAACAATATGTTTATATATATATATCTGACGTCCTATTTTACATGTTCTATCAAATTCAGTACAACTAGGTACTTATGTAAGTAAGTGACCATTTAAATTTGAAATATTCAAGGTGATTTTAATCTTTCATAAATTGAGCGAATGGGCGACTGTATTATTGCATGCAGTGTTTTATTACTCTTTCTGGCATGTTTTTCTTTAAGTAAACATGAACGTGGTGGCCATGAATAATGTATGTATTTCTGTAACATACACGATATTATATAACCATGTTTGACTCCGTTCTTTATAAGTTTAGATGATTCTTTTTAAGTGTTCACGAATTATGAACTTAATCAATATTTTTATATGATGACTCTAAAGTACCATGTAAACGCAATATTACTTACCTAAACGATCTCTACATGGGGTTAAGCATGTCCATTGTGTGTTTATCGTTCTGTTCATGTGAATGCTCTCTTACTGCAGTGTACATTGGTTGGAAGCAATATCCACAACTCACATGTATCTACCGATAACTTAGGACAACAGCGTGCTGTAACCTTTTAGGGCTGTGAGTCAACACCTGATGGTAGAGTGTCAGCCATTGTTAGCTGTGTGTCGACCATTGTTAGTTGTTTGCCGACACCTCATGGTAGAGTGTCTGCCATTGTTAGTTGTTTGTCGACACCTGATGGTAGAGTGTCGGCCATTGTTAGTTGTTTGTCTACATCTGATAGTATTGTGTCGACCATTGTTAGTTGTTTGTCGACACCTGATAGTAGAGTGTCGGTCATTGTTAGTTGTTTGTCGACACCTGATGGTAGAGTGTCGGCCATTATTAGTTGTTTGTCTACATTTAATGGCAGTGTGTCGGCCATTGTTAGTTGTTTGTCTATATCTGATGGTAGAGTGTCGGCCATTGTTAGTCGTTTGTCGACACCTGATGGTAGTGTGTCGGCCATTGTTAGTTGTTTGTCGACACCTGATGGTAGTGTGTCGGCCATTGTTAGTTGTTTGTCTATATCTGATGGTAGTGTGTCGGCCATTGTTAGTTGTTTGTCTGTATCTGATGGTAGTGTATCGGCCATTGTTAGTTGTTTGTCTACACCTGATGGTAGTGTGTCGGCCATTGTTAGTTATTTGTCTATATCTGATGGTAGTGTGTCGGCCATTGTTTGTTGTTTGTCTGTATCTGATGGTAGAGTGTCGGCCATTGTTAGTTGTTTGTCTACATCTGATGGTATAGTGTCGGCCATTGTTAGTTGTTTTTCTACATCTGATGGTAGAGTGTCGGCCATTGTTAGTTGTTGGTCTACATCTGATGGTAGAGTGTCGGCCATTGTTAGTTGTTTGTCGACACCTGATGGTAGAGTGTCGGCCATTGTTAGTTGTTTGTCGACACCTGATGGTAGTGTGTCGGCCATTGTTAGTTGTTTATCTACATCTGATGGTAGAGTGTCGGCCATTGTTAGCTGTTGGTCTACATCTGATGGTAGTGTGTCGGCCATTGTTAGTTACATCTGATAGTATTGTGTCGACGGTCATTGTTAGTTGTTTGTCATTGTTTGTTGTTTGTCATTTAATGTGTGCTGGCCATCTGTTAGTTGTTTGTCTACATCTGATGGTAGAGTGTCGGCCATTGTTAGTTGTGAGATGACCATTATGAGTTGATTGATGATGAACACTAATAACATCTAGATGTTTTATCTGACAAAATTTGATTCAGAATGAAAATTGGACATTTGTAGACTGGGAACAGAAAAACTTTAAAGAAGTGATCTTTCAGATGGTAATATTCATTATAACCATCTAATAATCATTGTGTAAACAAATATTTGAATATCAAACTTCTATTTTAATAGCGCTCTATTGAAGGATATTTGAATACTTAACTTCCAGATATTAACTTGCATGTACACCTGAATACATTTGATATACCATATTTTCCTGGTGAAAAGCTGCAGATTTTTACTTCCCAGTTGAGCATGTACCGGTAGTATATATACTGATGTGGCTTATAAGTGGTTGCAAAAAAATGAAGAGTATCGTCTGAACATCGGCAGAAAATATCATATTTACCCAATTCCTATTAATATCAACCGACTTGTATTTGATGTACTACAAAATTTGTTTCTGATTGTTTCATATATTGTACATATTGTGGTACCCTGACAAGTCTTATAACAACTTGACCAGTTGTGTAAAATCATCGTAGGAATTAATAGAAGTCTACAGACAGTTGTGTTTCATTTACTATCAAGAATATACAAGCCAGGTGAGTTGTGATCCTGTGAGAACTTCTTTCTTAAGGATCTGAGTTGATTTTCCTCTTCCTGCAGTTGAGTTTTACGTCAATATGTAGACTAAAGTTAACCTTGAGAAAATCAAAATAAAATCTCTAATGACATTTGACAAACTGATTGATGTCATTTTGTAACCTCCGGTTGACCCTTGTTCATATCTAGCAAGTTTTAACTCTAACGTTGTCATGCAGCTTAGGAAGAAAGGATCTCCAGTGAGGCTTGATCAAAATCATTGTGCAGCCACTCCTTGACCATTGGCAGGCGAGGCCTCAAGTGACATTTGACCTGTCATGCAACCACTTGTTGATCATTGGAAGGTCAGATCTGCTATGGCCTTTGACCTATTTGGTTTATCTTGTCATGCAGTCTCATGTTCAACGTTGGAAGGTCAGGTCTGCAGTGACCTTTGACCATTATGGTTAATAATGGCATGCAGCCATTTGTTGAATGTTCGAAGTTCAGGTCTCCAGTAACCTTTGACTCTGTTGTCATTCAGTCACTTGTTGGCCATTGGCGTGTCGGGATCATGTAGATACAGCCTCTTGTTGACCTCTGTGATGGAGAGGTCAATTAGCGGAGGGATTGACTCGGGCTGGTATCTAGTATCTGTCTGCATAATGGTGTGGCTGTCTGCAACATAAATCAAAGATTGTCTTAAAATCTAACAAGTAATCTGTAAAACATTTCGAAGAATTATAAAGAAAATGAAATCACCAGAAGTCGAATAGTCTTTTCTAATGAACACACCATCTTCTGATCATGAGCTACTGGTATGGTATATTGATATCATTTCTGTCACCAACTTTCTGTCAATATATGGCATATCATAGTGCTGAACAAGAAAATGAATTGCAGCTTATTTATTTTGGATAGATCAAAGTCTTTTACTGCGATAGAGTTTTGTACTAACCTTTGATTATCTCCCTTGATGTCAGAGGTGGTGAGTTCAGAAAGGTCAATCCAAAGTAGACGGGGTAACTCATTAACAAGCAGAAACATAGAAATGTAGGTAAAGCAATGGCCCATTGCCTGTAAATCAAAATCAACAAGGAATTATACACCAGATTACATGAAGACATGTATTGTCAGGAAGTACATGGTCCCCTCATTGTCATCAAACTAAACACATTGTAACAAAATGAGTAAAAAATGGATTTAATAGTAACTTTGGAATGGTATGTATCGTAGATAGCAGCATCTAAGTTTAAAGTACATCAGGTCAAAAGTCAGTCAATGCTGGCCGAGGTAAAAATCCTGTGAGTGACAGGTAGTGATGCACGCCTGATAACGGGCGGGGTGTGTACCCAAGTGGTGAAGCACCGTGGCAGAATATTGCCAGTATGATGGATCAGGAAAGGTAGATGCTCTCATTGTATGTCTCGCGCTGGCGAACTTAATTGTAAGTAAACAAGATAAGAAACAATGTATAAGGTAGATAAAGATGGGAAGTTGATAACGGTTACTCCTAGTCGCACATGCCTTCATAATTAGATGCTCCGGGGGCTGGGTTATTGTTGTCCAATTGGGACTAGGCTTAAATTAAGTATTTGGGTATTATTTATACAAAGACAATAGCCAGCAGAAGTCTAGTCGAATCTGGGATCGAGTAGCTAGAGAGAGTTGGGAGTCGGACGTGGAGACGGGCAGAGTCCCATATGGGACCTGCTCCACGATGGAGCGGGCCCTGGCCAAGTTGGCCCATGGACATTTGTATGGAACTCTTTGATATGGACGGGCAGGTGTTTAGTTTTTGTCTGCCTTACACAGGTGGTTAGTTTTGGTGCCATGACATGCTGCTGTATGTTAATTAGGAACTATCTTTTGTAATGGATATTAACGCGAAGTACTAACTATGGAAAACCACTATACAATGAAATAAACGTTTCGGTCAACCCAAGTAAACACCGTGTTTAGTCATTGTGTAACAACATACAATATTATTAAGTGAGAGAAATTCTGCAGGTTTCACAGACTTTGGACCAGCTACAGATTAAAAAAAAATAAATAAATTCAGCATTTTGGACTCTGGTATGATGCTAGATTCTGGCAAATATAGAAGAAGTATTGACTGTTGAGCTTGATGACATGCATTACATTACACACTTTGTACAGCACAGGATTTGAACTTTATGTTGTACTTATTAAAAGTGGATCAAGTTATTTTAGTTCAATTTACAAAAAAATCACTCGAGGCCAAAAGTCATAAGCTTATCACTGAAACTGTGACTACTGAATCTTCAGGTTGTTGAATATAATGATGCAGTGAATATTAAACTGTAGTTCTTACATCACAATTGTGATTACATTCCTGATAGTACAATTTCTTCTATTCTGTGAATCCCACTTACTTCTGTGGCCAGTAGTCTAGCCCAAGTTGATGTAACCAGGCATCAGGTACCCACGCCCATACCAGGTACAAAACTGAAAACAAAAGAGTTCTACCAAATATCACAATCCTACAGTAAAAATTAGACTGAAAAACAGAAATATCTACACTATTTGCTTATATGTTCTTTCAAATTAAATAGAATATTCAAGTAAAAACTAATAATTATAAAAACATCAATTTGGCTCTGAATCATTTGTCTAGAAATGTAGAAATTGAAATTAGACGCACCAGTAGAAACACAAATATCCTTGTTAACACTTACAAAACAAAACAAATGCAAGCAGGTACAGGACAAATCCATAGATGGCACGTTCAGGTGTTGGTGATGGGGAGTGTTCAGGCATTCTTTAAATTTGGTCAGCTATAGACAAAAACAAAATGTAAATCTGAATTTAAAAAGTGTCATCTGATATTCTTCTACCAACAGATCAAGCTCCATCATCATACCTTACAATATCAATTTCAATATAAACTGATAAATGCTTTTTAATTAATACAGAGGTGAGAAAGATGATGCATAGAGCCAATTGTTGTCGTGTAGGTCTAACAGGAGATTCTTCTGGATTGAGATAGTTCCAGGAAAGAATAATTTACTGTATAATGCGTAAGAAGAAAACTGATGCATAGAGTTGACTCAGCATAGTTTTTGAAAATAACATAAATTTAATTAGATCTTCACTTAATGCATTCGTAAATAAAATATTCTTAATTTTTATAAAGCCATACAGAAGTGTTACCAAGATATACAAATACAACCAAGTTTTAAATTTGGAGTAAAAACATATGAAGTTAGTTATTAGCGTTAATATGAGATATATATATGTGATTTTTTTTCTATTTTTCAAAACAGATTGTCAATTTTGTTTACAATTCAATAAACCATGTTAACCGCATATAGGATAATTTGTGCTCCCCCAACCGGAATTGTGTGAAAGGTAGAAAATATTGTTTGTCCATATACTAAATGTATCTAAGCCTGATGGACTGCGGATGAGAAAATGCTATTTTTCTTTATTAAAAACTGCTTTAACACTTAACTGGACACTAATTTGTCCGAGATCTGAGGTTTAACTTTTATTCGCTGTAATGGGGGATAAGCTGGAGTTCCAGTTCATCTGAGCCGATCCAAAGAAAGATACAAGATATCTAGACACAACAACAACACAAGTACAGTATATTACATGTTACAAGACTTACGTTAACAACAGATACACTAACGTGTTAACAAGCAACTGTTGTTAGTCTACCAGCAATCACAGTCCACTGACAGGAAAACAGCTGTTAAATTCTAAAAAACGAAAAGAGCACATTGAAATACATATCCGGAAAAATATGTCTGTAAATATTCAAAACATTTAGGAATATATCGCAAAGTTTAATTGAATTCATAATGTTTATGTTCATTCCAAATATAATATTTATCTTCTTCTCCAATTCCACGACAAGGGAACCTAATAAAAAGATATTTTTTTTTTATTTTTGCTTTGTTTCCGGAGATTTAAAAGAGTACATTCCGATAATTATAATCGAATGAATTCCGGAAGTACACATTCTGTTTACATCATGGCGGCGATCGTCTCCACTGGTAAACAGTGGAAGGAATTTTTCGAGAAAAATAATCATTTGCCACCTGCAGAAAGCAGAGAACAGGCAGCCCCTGATATATCAACTCCTATATGTATAAGTCTGACTGGTGTGGAAGGTCTTTTTGGCCGTGTAAGTATTATATTTTCAAATTTATATTTTGCCGCGTGTCTGAGCATGTTTGGATGCTAAACTAAAGATATGAAATTATTTGTAATTTAGAATTTGTTTCACGCAATAAAACACAAGTTGCAAGTATTTGTAGCTGCAAATGGTATATTTATCGGCAGTTATTAAATATTATAAAAGTAGAGTACTTCTATTTTTAGCAAACAAATGCAAAAACTGTAGTAATTTGTTTTTAATCAATTTTTTCAAACATATATTGTTTTGTTTTATCTGGTGCACGTTATGATATAACTGTCTCGGCCAGAAAATTTTTCGATTACTTGTATCAGCATTTCATGGCATGAGCTGTAGAAGAATACTAATAACAGTTGTCTCCTGCAAGAGGAGAGAAGAAACTACAATTACAATGCATTTGTTTTTTTCATTGGGTTGAGGGTACTATTGTTTATCTTCTGAAAGAAAGAGGATAATTATGTTGGAGTTCCATTGCATTCTGTAATGTAGTCCAAGGATGCTTTCTTGGTAAAATATTGTACTTATCAGGCAACAGGCTTATGTATGTAAATAAGTTCACTCTTACACATTGCTGTTCAGCAAAATCATCGACACATATCAATTCAGTGTCTGGGAATAATCTAACGTTGAATAAGAAACATATAAAGATTATTTTCTGGTGCCAAAGCTTATAGTAAGGATAAATACTAGTATATATAATCTGACATGGATTTTATTTCAATTTCTTGATTTTTTTGTACATTGTATTTCTAATTATGAACATCATTTACTAGGGACTCATAGCAGCAGATAAAGCATATGTAGTACCATATATATAAATAGTCCCTGTACTGACTGGATATTAGAATCATTTAGTAATTTATAAAAGGACTATGTAATTCAAGGAGCTATATCAACCTTAATATCATCACTGATACATGAAAGAGTGTGTACATACATATACAAGTTTTGTTTGTTGACTATGGAGGGCATTTGTTGCTACCATACTATTTTAACATTATCAGTGCAACTTGCATGGGCACAAGATTGTCAAGAAAAGGTTGACAGAATTATTTATTGGAGATACCGCCTAAATCACAATCCTGCTATTTTAACAAATGACACATAAATTTTCTCTTTAATATGATCACATAGAGCAGCTTAAAACCATAGAAATGTAAGACAAGAGTATCAAAGTAAAACATCATGATCTGAAAGTTAAAAAGATGCAGATATGCAATTTATTAAAAAAATATATGTAATTTGTTTTTCTTGTAAACATCATCAGCAACAAATGACATCGAAAGGTTGAAGGATAGGTTGATCATGGATCAAGTAATAAATTTGAAGGCATCATGAATGTGGTAATGTATATACTGATATAATCACACAAAATGTACCAGTCAATGTTCTCTCAAGCAAATTTTACACTTTACAGAAGTTTATGTTCAACGTCTGTTTAGAGTATAATGCGGTGTGTGGTATTTAATGCATTTTTAAAAGATATGGTGGATAACTGTGTAACAGAGGTCATTTTTCATCTCATTGCCTCCGCTAGGAATCGAACCCAGGACCCCTGGCGTACTAGTCTGACACTCAACCAGTCGAGCTAAAGAGAAGTTCTCTCTAGCTGAGTGGTATTTTACCAGAGTTACAATACCTTTGCTTGAAAAATATTGAGATACTAATATCAGTAATTGCAAAAATTGTGTTAGAAGTGGAAATTCTTTTTTAAAACTGCTTAATTATTTAGTTTAAAGAAAGTGTATACCAGAATACACAGCATTTACAGGGCAGGACATGTCTTTTAAATTCTGTTACATCATAATCTAAATTGCACTATCACCCAGATTGTGCAGCACAAATATATCCTGTTACTTGTTTCTAGGCATTTGAAAGTTCCTGTTATGCATGAGAGTGAAATTTAATGAGGTGACAGGTCACATGGTACATGTGATGTCAAATTATTACTTTGTCATTAGTTTCACTGTCGTCTATCTGGAGTGGTTCGTTTGGACAGAGCGCCATCTTCGGTTATTCCTCTTTCAAACGCTTAAATTATTTTGCTGAAAAAAAAGAAAAATTGGTTTGATTTGGTCTTGAAATGTATCACCTTAATTGCTACTGAGAGCACATATTGGGATTTGACAAACTTCGTTTTTTTCCTCAAGAATTCTGATTTTATATACCCAGTATTCTTTATTACTTTGATTCCGAGGGCCATGACACAATAATGTACATTATGTACATGTATATAATATGTATCATTTAATCATGGCATTTTTATGACATTTGCTTTCATGAAATTCACACCATGAAAAAATTTAGTTAAGCTGTAGTTATATTAGATATATGCTATGAATCATCTCAGATAAGGGTTTTGACTTGACTGCATATAGCCATGACCAGTTGTTGCATCCCTTTAAAAAAAATAGAAAAAAAAAGTACTTCAGTTTTTTTTGTGTTGTGATACATCATTATGTAAACAATACTCTATATACAAGATAAGTTTCACTTTAAAACAATTTTGAAAATGAATAAAGACAGGACTTGTGTTGTCGTGTCTTAGTATCTAAATAAATAGAATATTGCTTTGTAACACTTTGAAGTCAGCATCACAGTACCTGAAGTTTTGCATTCAAAGTGTGCATATTCACAAGGGGTTGGGGTCAGTTTCCACGGTCATCCGCCTGCTGAGAGAGATGGAACACTGAATACTTCATACATTATTGCATCATCTTAGGCTGAAATATGGCATAATGATAAATTGTGGCCAAAACTCTTTATAGTTAGTCTTTTTGTAAAATGATGAGAATATAAATGATTGTTTCATTATTTCAACTGACGAAATGCTGTATCTGTATTCTGTACATGAAACAGGATTCAGATTTCCAGGCATCTATTTTACATCATGTATAACGATTTAGAAAGTCGGTCTTAAAAACTAAAGGGGAGTAACTCTTTCATCACTGCCTGTTTACCTTGAACACCCATGGTCATATGCAAACAAATACATGTTTATCAAAACAGTTAATTTTGTAAGAGTATATGTAAAATATTGGAAGAGAAGAAATGATTACAAAGTAGAAAATATTTTGCATGCATACAAAATAATGATATATATATATATACCAGCTATATATCTATCTTCAAAATGACATTCAAACTCATGTATGTGAGCTTTACTCTCAGATTAAGGTTTTTTGAATATGAATACAAACTGACCAGATTAAGGTTTTTGGAATATGAATACAAACTGACCAGATTAAGGTTTTTGGAGTATGAATACAAACTGACCAGATTAAGGTTTTTGGAGTATGAATACAAACTGACCAGATTAAGGTTTTTGGAATATGAATACAAACTGACCAGATTAAAGTTTTTGGAATATGAATACAAACTGACCAGATTAAGGTTTTTGGAATATGAATACAAACTGACCAGATTAAGGTTTTTAGAATATGAATACAAACTGACCAGATTAAGGTTTTTGGAATATGAATACAAACAAGACTTTCATTTGTAGCAAGGAAAGCAATGCATCGTTAAGTCATTTGAGTAAAGTGCAGCTGCTCAAATATGAAAATGAGTATTGTTATACACATGTGAGATTCTGAGCATAAAAGTTAATCAATTGTTGGAAGATTACTGAAGTTATACCTAAGCCTAATTTGCATTAATTTAATAATATGAAAATGACTGTATTTTGATTTAGAGAACAAAAGGTGCATTATTTCTTGGTGCATTTAAGATTATACAAATGTAGTAATCCAAAGATGATCTTATTTACAAAGATTGTCGAAAGGAAAATAAAAATTGACTGACCTTTTTTTTAGTAAAAACTGAATTGTTGACACAAGCAAATTATATATTTTTTCTAGGTAAAGTGTTTTTAGTACACTTACATGTGTAGCTGGTTTGTTGGTTGATTTAATTACAAGATTTTCCATGGCCATGACCCTTCCTATTCCTAGCTGTTACCTCGCTGACAACTGTTAGTGGTCTGGCATGACAAACACTAAGGGATTTACTTATTGTTGTTAAAGAATTCCACCTTATTTGAAAATGAGTTCAAATATGCACATGAAAATGCACTTCGGAAACAAGCTGTATCAGATTTCTATAACTTCATATGTAAATACAGTTACTAGGTTACCCAATTGGAGAAAAAAAGCACAAACACAAACTAGACGAGTGTCACTTTTTTCATTTCTTTGTTGTTTTTTTTAATCATTGTTACTTAAAAGGGAAATGCATTCTGTCTGATTGAAATAAATTACTTACCTTAAAATAAAAGTTATCATATGCAACAGGTATTTACAAAAGGCTTTTTAATTCAAGATTATATTTAACAGACAATTTGTATATACATTTACTAGTATATAAACAAAATTCACATGTGTTGTTACAACTATTAGATGTATGTAATTATATATATTTTAAGCCCACCATCTGATGTGGGCTATTCAAATCGCACTGCGTCTGTGGTCCGTCTGTCCATCCGTAAACAATTCTTGTTACCTCTATTTCTGGAAAGGTACTGGATGGATCTTTCT